TACAATATAATTTTTCTATTCTAAAATACTTAAATTTCCTCTTTATTAGTTAAGAATATGAAGTTGCCCCACGTTAATCGCCAAATTTAAATAATTTTATTTGTAATATAAAAGATATTTTTTTAATTTAAATATTATTGTAAATGTCCCACATTGGTTGCCAATTTTTTAAATAATTTATAGTTGCCCCACGTTGGTCGCCAAATTTAAATAAATTAGTTTTAGAATGCATACAATATAATTTTTCTATTCTAAAATACTTAAATTTCCCCTTTATTAGTTAAGAATATGAAGTTGCCCCACGTTGGTCGCCAAATTTAAATAATTTTATTTGTAATACAAAAGTTAATTTTTGAATTTAGATATTATTGTTTCACTACAAATTTCCTCTTCAAATAGATGTAGTAAACAATTTGTAAATGTCCCACATTGGTCGCCAACTTTTAACTAATTTTAATTAAATCAAGAAACCTGCAGTAATAGTAATTCCATGGAGTGTGAGGTGTTTAATCAGGTTTATCTCTTTCTCGCGATGACCGTGTTCGTTGGAATTTGAGGTGTTTAAATGTATCTCGGTGGAGAAACCTGGTGCATGTTTTCTTGTGGCGCTGGGTTCCAATAAAATTTCCATCGAGCAGGAAACACGGTTTTCATTTAATGAGCCGTGAAATGTTTAATTCATCGGGACAGAAACGAAACGAAATGAAACGACAAATCGTCGCAGACGGCAAATTTCTAAATTTTACTAATTTGCATTTCACGCCGCGTCGTGCCCACCCATTACCAGATTCTACGATATCGATTCTTGACAACAATCAAAAACAGTTTTCTTCAGTTGGAATAACACATTAATTGTATTAATTAGAAAATTTTCTTGAATATAAATATGAAAGTTAAGCAACTTGGATGGAAGCAATCATAAAATTTTAACAAATTAACTTAATACCTTAATACAGTTTAATTAAATTAACAAAATTATGAAAATAATTATGAATGGACATAAATTCGTTGTAAATTGGATTATTTGTCCCACGTTGATTGTTAAATTTTTCAAACATTTAATTTACTTCCAAATTCATTAAATTTTATTTTAAAATATACTTTATGTTAATTAGAAGATAATAAACTAGAAATATTTAATTACTCATCTATGCTTGCGTAAACAAACTATTACATAATCAAATAGAAAAATGAATAAAAAAAATATAAAATTAATAGCTTAATTTGTCACGGATTTATATCCATAAGTTATTAATGTCCAACAGCGATGTGAATAAATAATTGATTGAATATAAAATTTTGATAAACGGCTATGGAAAAAAAAAGAGAGGATAATCGAAACACTCTCTCCCACGCCACCTACGATTATTCAAATTTAGTATTTTCGATTTCGTTTTAGGTTATATTTTTTGTTTTAATAGGTCCATTAAAATATTATTTTGTTGGTATTATTATTATTTTTTTTTTCCAAGATCGCTCGTGCGATGTGAGAAAATGAAAGAAAAGACGTCGTCCTGTCTAGAAATTATTGGTCCATAAACGGAGTCCGAACGGCATTTGCATAATCGCGCGATTGGAAAGAGCGAAGGCGTGCACGCGCGATACACAAATTAATTAATTAAGGAGTTTGATTATGGAAGAAAATTGCGTGCAATTAACGCTCGCACCCGACACCTTTCTTCAACCTCGCGTTGCGCAACTGTTTCCTCTCTGGGTAACCTGGACAGAATTATTTAGATTTTTGAAGCCCCACGTTGGTCACCAAAATTAATAATTTTTGTTATTTCATTTTGTTACTATAGTAACAAGAAAATTAAAGCGGTTTTTTGTTATAACATATTTATTTATTGATAAAATCGTTATTACACCACAGTTTATATAGTAGACAATAGCCATTATTCATCACTCACCTTTGTTTTGGTTCAGTGCGTTCATTTGTTTTACATTCATAGCCTCACATTTTAATAATTTATTAGTTTGTGTTATGAAGTATTCAGTTTAATAGGTTACTTTAAGTAACATTATTGCCCCACGTTAGTCACCAAATTATAAAATTTATTTTCATTTTATATTTAATTAAAATCGCATTTGACTTATAAATAAGTAAGTAAATTAACAGTTTTTTAACAAAACAAAAAAATATAATCAAAGACCATAAATCTAGTGTTAATGATTGATGACAGAATGACAGTATACAAAAAAAAAACAGAAGTGATCAAGATTGTGTCTTTGTTAAGTGGATGAATTTGGAGAAGGATTTAGACGAGTCGTTTGAATATAAAAGAAGGGACGTGATCGTAATCTTTCGTTTCTGGTAAACCCTTAAAAAAAAAATAGAGTCCTGAAAGTTCATTAATTTTAATAATACACAATTTCTTTTTGTTTTTCGTTTTTCTTTTCTTAAGTTACCTTAGATCCAAATATCAAAATACATAAAAATAAATAGTGGTGCCTCATAGTTTTTTTATTTTGTTTTTGTTAGTTGATTGAGTTGCCCCACGTTAGTCGCCAATTGTATAATAATATGTCATATTTGTATTGAAAATTACGCTGAATGAAGGATAATCGATTTGGCAAAGTTCCTTTCTTTCGCTGCAGTAAATCAAGTGCAGATATGCGTATGCTCATGGCAGGATGTAAGGTTCTTCGGCCGATGTGAATGGCGTTGAACGTTGCGGCAGCGAAAGAATCGCAAATGCTCCTTTGAATTCTCGCCCAACAATGGATTTGTGTGTTCTTAGGTGTCGTGGTGTAGTGTGGTGTGTGTATGTGTATTATGGCCTAGGTATAAATCGCGACGGACACACACAAGGAAGTGGACGACGTTTGGCTTGTACCAATAAACACCCATGGAACGTATGGAAATGGCCACCATCAATATTACGTTATTATATTATTGAATACACGGGGAATTACAAGAGATAGTAGCCCATTGAATTGCAAATATTCGCATTATGCGCTTTCATAGTGCGAAGTGCACGACTCAAAGTCTCGGCATCAGCGCAGATGGATCAAATATATTCAGAACTGGTCCGTGCATTGCAGATAGATAGATAGACGTACAAACAACACATGCACACGCTCTCTTCTCTTTACTCTTTTGCAGACCTCTTCTCTTCTCGTTACGTGAGCCCAAGGCGCAGAGCAGACGCCTTCTCTAAATGTTTATTTTAATGCGAATCGCAGGGGCCGTAACTTATTTTCAATTACCAGTGCAAGATAATGCGACTCCATGGGATGGTATGTTTAACACCTATGTGGCACGAGAGAGGAAGGATGATGGTCAGATCATGTCTTCGATATGGAGACTGGATGGCTACCGGTGCTCAGACATCCTCGAGAACTCGATATAATTTATGGCGCATAAAAAATGGACCTTCGTCTAGTATAGATACAGATAACCAGCTGAGACTACCTGAGAGCTTAAGATCAATCCATTTAGAGTACATCACAATCATCTCCTTTGTTATTCACTTTATCATGCCTTTAAAAAAAAACTGTATTGAATTTACATATTAATGGTCGATAGTCTAAATAACATAGGAAATATATTGAAAATTGTATTTTTTTGTATTTATTTTATGAATGGATTCAAGTATAGTAAGATTAATTGTTTAATGAGTGTTAACATGAATTCCCAAATTAAATCGTTTCGTATCGAAAGTTACGGCAAGTTCGTGCACGCAACAACAGAAAAAAAAAAGCTCACGAATCGATTAAGAAATCACTCTTGTAATTATTGATTTACGAGCGGATCGATATTTCCGATAATTGGTGTTAAGTGTACCAAGGTTGTCGCACTTCGATTTGAAAGAAGCAAAATAATAAGAAAAACCTGACAATTACCTAAAATGGTAAAATTAATTTGAATCCGCTCTGAATTTATAAATCAATTTTTTATTTATGAAATTTTTCCTTTTTTTTTACATTAAAAACCAACTTAATTGGCGCGCTTTTTTGCGCTCATTTGAATAACTTGCGAGAGGGATTAATAAGTAAAACGCGACGATCCGGTGCGTAGCTTAATATAATTATGCAGAATGGAAAGCTGCGCGGCGTGCAAAGTGATTTCAGTCCATCTTTTAATGGATATGTGAGACATTAATAATCTAATTACAGGAATGGCTTTTATGGCCGAGGAATTAATTGAATTTCTTGAATAACAGAATTACATTTATGAAAATGAGGCGATTAGAGAGATTTGCATGGTGTAAAGAGAAGAGATAATCGGAGTTGTCCAAGCAATGATGATGAGCTGTGCGCGCTTGTAGTATGTAAGTAAGTAAGTACTATTACATACGACTGTTGAAATTCAGCTCAAGGAGATCCGTTAATGTTGTTCCGTTCTTTATTTCCTTGCTACTTCTGCTGACTCGGTTTTGCTTCTGGTTTGGCTCGAAGAAGAGGAGAGCCAAACAGAATTGTTTTAATTGCATATTTTATAACGGTAGCCGTGCATTTAAGACGCGCAATAACACAGAGAGCCCCGTGTCATTTCAATTTCGCCTCCTCTGCTCTTCGCTCTCCTTCAGAATACGAAGTAGCCTCCTTCCTTCTTCTCATCCTCCACGAAACCCATCTCCATTCGATCCACGAAGAAAACGCTATTATCTTGTACGTATGTATATACAGAGACATGAGCATTGCTAAACCGGGACATCATTTTTGTGTAAAATTATTTCATATACCTGGCGATTCTTATTCTTGAAATATAGTATTAATTAAAATTTACAAATTTTGAATGAAATTATCAATGTTTTTAATTTTCTTGTAATAATATTATGTAATATAAATGAGATTGAATGAATGTTGAGAAGATGGGATTGTTGGGACGTGCTGTATAAAATTGTAATTTGGGGCATCGTCTGAAGTGCGGAAGATTAATTAAAAGAATGCGGCCCACGCTTGTCGGAAAAGAAGGAAGTCTCGTCGTGAAGAAGGAGAAGAAAAGAAGTAAAATGAAGGAGGAGGAGGTGGAGGAATGCATAAAAATTATAAACATGAAATTGCACGAGGCGAGTCAAACGACAGCGCGAGGAAAAGATAAAGAGCGGTTGAAGGGTCTTACCTCATATGCAAAAAAGGCGTGCGAACTTGCCGTGAGGAAAGTAGGCTACAATTTAGTGGAAATTGCACGCGCCGGTGACGTGGAATAAATAGTTTCGTGTTGAGAGAGAAGAGTTTCAGGACAAATCGGAGTTCTGAAAGGTGTAATTGGGTGTGGATGCGGGCCTATGGTGGTGCATGTGATGCAGGTGTTTGATTGATAATAGTAATTTGAAAAATGATGATGATGGTAATGGTAATAATAATAATAATGATGATGATGGTAATGGGTGATGGGTTGTAATGGCATTGAGTCAGTGGAATCTTTTTGGCTTCAGGTGTTTCGTTTTGTTTCAGAAGAACGGCTGCCTTTACGAGCACATCCGATGGGGAGAGGCCTTCGTGGTTGTGTATTCCGTGAGCGACAGACATAGTTTTCACGAAGCGCAGGAGCTGCTCGGACAACTCGCTAAATTAAAACTGCCATCCTATTATACGAGTCTCCTATTAGGGAATAAAAGAGATCTCGACCATTCTAGGTAAGTTGCCGGTTCGGTTTTGGCACGAGGAAATTTGCTAAAGGGGAACAATAAAACTACTCTTCCAACTATACTATTACTACTGACTGCATTGCTGCTACCACCACCACAACTACCTCAACCATCACTCGGATGGATGTTTGGTAGGTAGGTAGATAGGTAAAGGCAAGCAGACTCTTCGCTGATATATATATATGTGTGTACGTACATGCTGAGGAATCCTGATTTATGCCCGGTCGACTGGATGTGCTGTTAGATTGAAAGGATATCGTCTCTCATTGCGGCCGCCGCCGGGGAGCATCCGCCTCGGATCGGGGTCACATCATCATCATTTTTCGGGCAAAAAAAGAACATCTTCCATATACATATTAACAAAGAAATCATCACACAATATTAATCATTAAATTAACAGCTCACTTAAATTACCATCTTCACACAAAAATTTTATTTTTCGAACAAAGGATGCATCCATTACAGACAGACATTCCTTGCTTACTCATATACAATATTCGTTAACACATTCTTCATTCTTCAAATACTGAGAATTTTATACCTGAATATTGATTCATCCCATGCGAAAGGAAACACTAAAAATATCTTTCAAATTATTTTCGATATTTAAATATAAATTTAACAAGTTTTTTAATGTTAATAATTTGGGAATGAAATAATTCTGCTAATTTTTACTACTTTTTTCATATTTTTTTTAATATTCCTTGGGGAAATATATAATTAAAAAAGCTTGAAGAAATATTTATAAAGTTATTATTTAATATCAACTAAAAATAAAAATATATTTTATATATTAAATTGGATTCATTATTAAAGTTCTTAATTTCAATTAGAATTTTCATTTATTTTGAAACTATTTCAATTTTATTTAAGTTATTTTTTTGAATATAGACAATTTTAGACTGATATAATTTCATAACATTTTTATTACTTTTTACTAAAATTTACGTTTTTATATCAATGTAGAGAATTAAAATGTATAAAATTTGTAATTAAAATTGTTAATTTCAATTAGAATTTTAATTAGTTTATTAATGAACTATTGTCAATAATTAATGTCTCAATTTATTTGAAGTTATTTTTGAATATTGAAAATTTGAGAATGAAATAATTTCATAACATTTTCATTACTTTTTACTCACATTTTCATGTTTTATAATTATAAAAGTATGAACTAATATTTAATATCATATTTTAGATCAAAAAATGTATAGAATTAAAATTTGTAATTAAATTTTGTTAGTTTCAATTAGAATTTTCATTAATTTTGAAACTATTTCAATTTTATTTAAGTTATTTTTTTGAATATAGACAATTTTAGAATGAAATAATTTCATAACATTTTTATTACTTTTTACTAAAATTTACATGTTTTTTTTTTGGAAAATATATAATTATTAAACTACGAACTATTCTTTAATATAAACTAGAAATTCTTATATTTTATATCAAAAAAATGTAGAGAATTAAAATGTATAAAATTTGTAATTAAAATTGTTAATTTCAATTAGAATTTTAATTAGTTTATTAATGAAACTATTGTCAATAATGTCTCAATTTAATTTAAGTTATTTTTTGAATATTGAACATTTGAGAATGAAATAATTTCATAACATTTTCATTACTTTTTACTTACATTTTCATGTTATGTAATTATAAATGTATGAACAGATATTTAATATCAACTAGAAATTCTCATATTTTATATTAAAAAATGTATAGAATTAAAATTTGTAAATAAATTTTGTTAGTTTCAATTAGAATTTTAATTAGTTTATTAATGAAACTATTGTCAATAATGTCTCAATTTATTTGAAGTTATTTTTGAATATTGAAAATTTGAGAATGAAATATTTTCATAACATTTTCATTACTTTTTACTAAAATTTTCATGTTTTGTAATTATAAAAGTATGAACTGATATTTAATATCAACTAGAAAATCTCATATTTTATATTAAAAAATGTAGAGAATTAAAATTTGTAAATAAATTTTGTTAGTTTCAATTAGAATTTTAATTAGTTTATTAATGAAACTATTGTCAATAATTAATCTTTCAATTTATTTTAAGTTATTTTTTGAATATTGAAAATTTGAGAATGAAATAATTTCATAACATTTTCATTACTTTTTACTCACATTTTCATGTTTTGTAATTATATAAGTATGAACTGATTTCAAATAGAAATTATCATATTTAAGATCAAAAAATTTAGAGAATTAAAATTTGTAATTAAATTTTGTTTATATCAATTAGAATTTTCATTAATTTATTAACGTGATGCAATGCAGAATGATGGATGAGCATTATTTTGTAGACTTAACGAGATTCCCAAGATTTACAGTAATACATAGTTTTGGAATGATGTATTTGATTCTAAATTGAATAAATCTTTTCAATTGAAACGAGAGGCGCGCAACAACCTGATATTATTATTACCAGAAAATCTATCATTCCGATGGGTACGTTTTCAATGATGATGATGGTGGAGCCATAGTGAAATTGATAGCGTACAAGTGCGTTGATCTCAATAAATCTTCACCACATATTTTTCGATCCTCCACTCCACGTTCGAGATGCGTTAACAACGTTGCGTCTGATCATACCAATAATGATGATTATGGTAATAGTTGGGCTACGATCTGCAGGTAATGACAATGACCTGCGACCTCCCGTTGCCGAAGAAAGTGGCGCCATGGTAACAATCTTAAAGGGTTATATCGGATTGTAATGGGAGGTCCGAGCATCTCGCCTAGGTGATATATCGCCACCTTTTGCGAGCTCGCACAATTGACATTCTTTTCTTTTGTTGTTGTTGTTGTTTTATTTCGTGCAAGTATAAAGTTATTTTTGTTTTGTTTTTCATTATTCGCGAAGCCCACGCGTTTTTTTTTTTGCAAAACTTATATCTCTGTGTGATATTTCGAGACAACTGACACCTTCACACCTTCTTTCTTTCGCGCATTCTTATATCCACCTTAAACATTTGGGTAGAAGAATACGTGCTTAATATAAAGAATGAAGTGCTAACTTACATTCATAAAAGGTTCGTTGCTCCTTTCGCGCATTTAATCACAGCTTTAAATTTAGTTAAATCAGAGATCATCAACCTTTTGTTAACTTAAAGTTAATTAATAAATTCATAATAGAGGATTTAGCTAATTAATGTAAATTAGTGCTATAAATATTTAGATAATAATCGTAATGTTTGTTATCCAGGATAATGTCGATTGTGATCGTAGTTTATTGTTGAAGATCGACTTGAATCGTAATGGAACTGTGCACTCTTCGGATGTTGGTGAAGAGTGGTAATAGTAGTAGTAGTAGAGTACGATCCTCCTCTGGTTATGGCCTTATCCGTGAGGACAGTTAAATTGGTTTAAACTGTGGAATAATTCGCCGTGAACTCTTCTGGCTCGCTTTTGTTATGCGAAATGCAGCCGCAGCGGCGGTGGATAGGAATTCCGATTGCTTCAATCGCGAGGCAAACGCTGATCTTAATTTGACATTAAATAGAAAATCACTTGACTTCTCACGAGTCTACACACATAAATCGAATGCACGGCATTCCACCCATCCTCCGACGTCCTCGATAATGATAAAAGGAGTCAATCGAATGAGAAGCCTCCGCATTCAAAGTGCATCATGCATATAGATATATCTATGTATCTACACTCTACTCTATATATATATACACAAACATACATACGTCCATCCATCTATAATAGGTAAATGCGTTTTACGAGATGTAAATGGTATCTCTGTCCGGATAAAATCACGTAACGCAAGAGCACAACGAAAATGTTAATTCGAGAAATCGAGCATTCCGGAAGACAACAAAGGGTTGCTTGATTGACAGTAATGAAGCGTCTCTCTCGAAACCGTGGATTATTTTAACAAGCCCCCATTTAGACTTCGTCTCATCTCTTCTCTTGACATAACGAAAATGCTGAAGAGTTAAAAAAAAATAAATAAGAATCATATCAGAACTGTTGTTGTTTCAGTTCGTTATTTATTTACCTGCAAACTTTTACGACTTTAATAAAAGCAAATTACGTGGAAATCTAAGCTGACTGTAGAAGAAAAAATGTGGTTTGTAAATAAAATATAATAAGGAGATTTTCTTCTTGGATGCAGCAAAACGAGGAAAGAATCGCGCGCGCATAAATTAAATAAATAATGCGGTAAACAAGGCGTTTTACAATGTTCTTGACCTAGAACCGTGAAAGTATTGCATATAAACATTAGGTAACTGCAACAGGTTAACGTTGAATTTCTTGCGCTCGAAACAATGGTCTATAACTTCGTATCTGGATGATTGTCGTATTATGCGATGGATGGATTGTGGGGTGGCTTTCTTCGTTATATCCGAGCCAGGATCGACGTATCGGATTCGATCCATTTTAGGAACCCAAAAAACATTTTCCGATTGTTCTCACTACCATTGTGCTCTTACGTAACTCACTCTTCACGAACCATCGACCCTTGTCCTTGCGCAGACTGCATATATTATTTTATTTACATTATTCCAAGAAACGTATCCAAATTTTCAAGTTACAAACAAATTTTAAAAATAAAATATTTCTATATCATTTTACGCAACTTTATACTGTTTACACATCACCGAAAACAATTTAACTTTAAATTAAAGAAGTATAAAATTTTATAAAGTTGCATCCGAATCTATTTTTAATATGAAAATACTTCAGTTGTAACAATTAATAACCCTTTATGAATGCGCGGCGGATATATCCGCCCAATCCTTTACTTAAGAAACTTGGCTTATGTATATAATAACACACAGCAAAGGATAAAACAACTGTCAATTAATTTGACACACTTTTATATTAATATCATACATCATGTTGTATACTATAATATTATGGCATTTACACAACATCAAAAACAATTTAACTTTATTTTAAAGAAGTGTAAAATTTTATAAAGTTGCATCCGATACTATTTTTAATATGAAAATACTTCAGTT